TAACATTTATTACATTTGTTGATATCTCATCATTTTTTCATTTCTCAATTATAGTTATACTAATGATAAAAAAATTAAAATCATATTCAGCATTTCCAAATGGTTTGTGTGAGATTAGCCAATAACTGGTGAAACTGCAGGATATATTAGAGTAAGATCTCTTTTAAATATTGGCAAATGGACTAAATTTTCTCCTGCTAGCATAAGTACATTTTGTGATAAAATAAGTCATTCTAATCCTGAATACACAATTTTAACAGAACTAAAAACACTATGGTTAATATTATTATCAGTAAAGAAAGGTATGTGTAAAATCAATAAAATTTAAATAAATTTGGATAATTATTTATTTAGGCTTGTCTTATATAGTAGGTTTAGTACATTATAATAAAACACAAAATTTATTAAAAACTGAAACAAGTAAGTATAATACATAAATAATAAGTTTTATAAATATTATAATAACATTAATGATATTATTCTATTATTACTAAAATAAATCTAACGTGAAAGATCAAATAGGATAAATTTTTTTTTTATTTTATCAAAAGGTACTAATTAATTTGATATTGATAGTATTAATTTAGAATTTTCATTAAAGTCTGGCTGGACATTAAAGGAAAATCAGAAAATAAGTAATAAAGAAGAGGAAATACATTAGTAAAAAAAATTATACAATATCTATAAACTTATTTTTATATAGATAATCTTAATCTAAAGGACCAATATACTACCAAAAAAAATGTATGAAAGTCTAAAGAAATTAGTAAATAAAAAGGAACTTAGTGTTGAGGAAATTTTAGAAGTAAAAACAATCAAGAGATAGATAGGAAGATATAGTGCTTCTTCTAAAAAAGAAATAACTGAAAAAGTATTAAAGAAAAATAAAGTGCGCATTATGAAAAAGTAAATACCAAAAATATTACTTACAATAAACTTAATAAAGCTAAAAGGCGGCAAAAAAGGCTAAATTTGCTGAGTTTGAATTTTTTAAATCTCATTGTAAATTAAAAGTATTATAAAATCTGTCGTTTCCCTATCTAAAACTTTTTAAAACGAAATAAAAAAAAATTTTTTATTGTTTAAGTGGCTTAGCAGACATGTAATACATAACATAATTTAATAATTATTTTGGGTAATGAATAATTAAAGTTTTTTATTTGATGTAAAATGATGAAATTAGCAGTGATCTACATGATTTTACCTCACATTATATTATGCAATTAAATTATTATTAAATTATACAAAAGAACTATTATCATATAGATCTTCTTTTCATTTATATTTAATTATTTTTACTAAAATTGATGTAGAACGTTTATTAAACTATGCTTTATAATAATATTTATACTACTGACCAATGTGTATTCAAATAAGATTATTAATATTATTATGAAATTTTATTAATTATAACTTAAATAAAGAGTAAATAAAAGTATTAATAATGGTTGTTCTCATTTTCGCCATCTTGTTTTCAATCTATTACACATTTTTGTTTTAAAATCAAGATTCTCATGGTTTTTAAATATTTGAATTATATATGCAAAACAATATAAAACTTCAAAAAGTCTTGCAGTATTTTTTTGTAATTTATTAAAAATCCACAAAGAGGATATAATAAATTTTGTAAAAAAAATAGTGTAATGCAAAATTTAAAATTATTAATAATATCAGCAATATCATTTGGTAATTTGCATTCTTTTTTACTTATTATTAAATATTTATTAGCTTAAATATTAGATTGCTATTAGTATGAAATATATTGGTTTGATAAGGATTAAATTTTGCTGATAAATACTAAAATTTAATATAATGTTAGTAATATTAAATAATAAAATTATTTATAATATAATCTATTAAAAAATAATATCTTTAGAGCAGCTTGTGATTTACATAAAGAATAAAAACAAAAATAGTAACTATTCTATTTAATATTTTCTAATGAAATTTACAAAATAGTTTTTTAATAAATGCGTATTTGTTCATCATGTAAATGATCAATAAAAAAAGATGAATTATAAAAATAGGAAATAATCCTAATAGCTTCAATTGAAATTTACTTATATAATTCTTTTTCTTTAAATATATCACCAAAAACTAGGTTTACTTTATATGTCATACATGAGAGAAATATCTTATTTGGATATTCTCATTGTAATTGCCGCCTAAAAAAAAAAATTGACTTTAATTAGATTATTATAATATATTGATATAATATATATTAAATACTAACCTAGTAGCAGCATATTCACTTGCTAAATCTGATATAAATGCTTTGATAATCACTTTTTTTTCTTATGTTTCATTCATTAAATTTTTAATATGACAAATTACATCTTTAGTTCTTAATTGTTTAGGATTAATTTTAGTTGCTCTCTAAATTAGTGATTGTTCTTGAGAGGTAATAAAAATAATACTTACAAATATTCTTATTTAATATTAGTTCATCTATTAAAAGTAGCTGTGACTTCATCTTTATCTGTACATGTGATTTTTAAAATATTTTCTTATAAACTATGTGATGAGTTAAGTAAAATTGACCCTTCTAATTTATTTCAAGATGGTACGTTTAAACCCAGTAAAATAAAATTAAATAATATACGAGTTTTTGAATTTTCTACAAATGTAAATGGCAAATCATTTGAAACTTATATTTGTAAAAAAAGCATTTCAAATTTTAGTAAATCTTTGCTAAATATTAAATGACTAAAATAATTGGTTAAAAGGATCTAGTTAGAAATATTAGTAAATATTATATTAATCTTTGATGTAGAGTCTTTCCTTTTTTTAGCAAGTAGAGAATATAATACAGTTTCTTTTTCACTTTATAAATTAAAATAAATTATTTTAATATTCAAAACAAATATTAAAATATATTATTATAATATAATTACCTTTTGTATTATTATTATATTGCTTATTATCTTCTAGAACTAGTCACGAAAGAATATTTTACATTTCTTCTTCTATATATGTACTTTTAAAATTATTACAACTAGCTAAATGTGCTCGACATAATCTAGCTCTATTTGCTGTAAAACAACTTAAAATATATTGTGTTATTTATATGTCACCGTTTTTATTGATGCAATATATACAAACTACCTTAGCATTTGATTTATTAGTCTCACTTTTTACCAAAGTAAAAAACTCTTAAAAGTTGTGTAGCTTCTTTTTAGTTCTTAACCTTTTAAAATTACCCTTATTTTTTCCTATTTTGTTTTTTATTTACAATAAAAAAATGCGAAAGCTTACTTTCTGAAAAAAAATCTCACTTTAATATTGTAGTATTTTTTTTTTAAAAAAAAAAGTATATTTTTTTAAAAATTGCAATACTTTTTTAATATTCTGACAAATATAATCTATTTTTTTTAAAAATTGCAATACTTTTTTGAAATTCTGACAAATCTAATCTATTTTTTTTTTTTAAAAAAAAAATTTTATTGTGATAATTCAATTTTTATTAGTTAATAATATTTGATTCATCATTTAATGACTATATAACCAAAGTCATTTATTTATGACCAATAGTCATAGAGGTCATAATAATCAGTTATAAAATTTATGACTTATTAACTAAATGATCAATGATCATTTATATACATGATCAAGATTATATTAAATTACTATTATGACCTAATTATATTCTAACACTGGTATTTGCAATATTTTCAAAAGTATCATTATGTTAGCGACAGTAAATTATGGCTTTATGTTGTTTTTTGATTATTTCTATATTTCTTCCCATTTTTTTTTGTTTTTAGAGAAAGAAATTAAAAAAAAATATGTATTTTTATTATTTAAATATATAAATAAATATTTGAATATCATATAACAGCTATATGCTACTTTAGTTATATAATATTACTATCATTAATTCATATTTATAAAGGTTCTGCAGAAACTTTTGTCTACCCTTTATATATTAAAAATATAAAAAATAATATAATGAAATTACTTTGAGAAAATTCAACAGGCATATATAGATGTAATATATAATATTTTATTAATTAAATTCAGTATAATCAATTATAAAAAATTAGTTTTATAATATATGGTTTAATATAATAAGATTTTAGTTATTATTTCTAAAATTAACTGTATACCTTTAAAATACAATTGATTACTTAACATTCTTTAATGATAGTAATCTTATATCTAAAAGAATATGTAAAAAATAAAATAAAAAGTAAAAAATATAAAATAATAAAAATAATAAAAAAATAATAAATCAATTTTAGGAGAATAGCCTGAATATTATAATAATAACAAATTTTCTTATAATAAATATTTAATTAATTTAAATACTAAATTTGTTATATTGAGATTGACTGTGTTGTAATTAATTTCTCATTTTTATTAAAGATTTTTAAAACTTAATTAAAGGACTTTTCTATAAAGGACATATCTATTTGTTTAGCACGTGATTTTTAAATCACGTGATAGCTATATAGACTCATTCCTAATCTAAAAATGTGATAATTATTGAGTGATAAGTTCCTAGAATACTTATGAAAATGGAAAATGCAAAGATAATTAAAGATTATTTTGGGTGTTTCATGTCTGTCTGTTTGACATATGATTTTATCAATATGTAATCGCCAAATTAGACTTTTTTTTCTAAGAATTTCTTTCTTATTTCTTAAAGATTTTTTAGGTTTTGAATGTTACCTTAAGAATCATATTTTATTTGTAAATGTAGTAATATTCACATTACATTTAAGGAAGATAATCGCTTTTCCCTCATCCTTCCTTTCTTGTTTAGTTTTAAAGTTCTTTAACTCCGAATACACAACAGTTTCTATTAGCCTAGTCATATCGATATTATATTAGAAAATGATCGACATAAAAATTGACCAATCATACAAATATCTGCTACGTTGGTAAATTTACATCACGATAGTTAAATACCTGTTCGTCTAAACTGATAAGTCATTCTCTTTCACTTTTGTTTGCTATGCTCAATTTTTGACAGGCGAACTTAAACATTATTCAGTAAAATGAGTTCTATTAGAGAAGAGCAATTGCCAAGGTTTTGAATAGTATGAAAATATATCGCGTTTGTTATCTCTTTTATTGTTTATATAAACTAATACATAATTTCAAATAGGGTTATCCTACCATCTGTTTTACGGCGTTCAACAATTTTTTCAACAAAAGAAAACTTACCTAAATCAACTCAAATAACAAAAGCAAGAAGAGTTACTCAATTACCTGCAAATAATGTGAGCAATACTTTGAAGCGACCTATATATGCTGCGGCAATTAAAACACCTGGCACTCATGCTCATACAACTGTAAAAAAGCCGATAGAAAGGTAATAAATTAAAATTAATGTTATAACTTGTTACTTTTAATTAATTATTACGTTGTAATAGGCTTGGAACTCTTACTACCACGAGAAAAGAGGCTTTAAAAAATGTGAGTTCAAGCAATGTTATTTAAAAATTCGATTATTAATTACTTTATTTAAACGAAAATTAATCAATTCTGTTTATAGTCTTCACTTGTCAAATCTGTACCGCAATCTACATTAAACGCGTCAAGAATTCAACCGCCTCAGGGTAATAAAAGTTTAAATCGAACAATTTCTTTTGCAAGGAACAACATTGGGACAAAAACTACAAGATCAGGAATTGAGCATGAAAATAAAAACAAAGGACCTATTAGACTTTTTTCTAATTTGCAGAAACCTAATACTTTAACAAACGGTAACCCACTTACACGTGTTAATCCAAATCTGAATCGTCCTTTACGTTCTATGGTAACACCAGCACATAAGACACAAAAAGCCGGAATTTCTAAAGTCAATACAATTTCATCTGAGAGAAGTAGGCAAACTAATAATCTCAAGGATACTCAAATCAAATTCAAACCAAATCCTATATCTCTTCAGGAAATTTTGTCAAGTAGAACATCAATTGATGTTACTAAGAAAAGAGAGACTTTATTAGGTAGTAGACTTAATTCAAAATCATCAACTACACCCGGAAAACTTTCTATGTCCCGATCCAGAATGTCTTATTCTTATCGTGTTGAGGTAAAAAGATTACTTTTATAATTTTATTCTTTAGATAAATTATTAATTGGTACATTAATATTCAGAAACCTCGAGAAGCAAGAGCATCAATTATATCTGGTGCATTGCGTGTTCCTAGAAATAACGCTAAAAAAAATTCTCGGAGTACCTTAATAGGGAGAGATGTGCGTATTTTGATAGTTAACTAATATATTAAATTTTGAGTATGCTAATTATCTTAATAACTCAGATGTCTTGTCGGAAATTATCAACTATTCGCGAGTTATCTGTCCGCCCGAATCAAAGCAAGTATATTAACAAAAAGCCTGCTGACCAATCATTAGCTGTACGTGACGCGTCTCGCACGTTCACACAGAGGCTTCCAACACCGGCACTTCGACATACAACAACTTCCGTCATTGGTATGAAACTATCAAGTTAGGTTCAACCAATGGACCGCTGATCCTTATGTGAAATCTGAGGGAATTTGGCGGCCCTTTGGAACTCGGATCCAATCACTCACAATATTATTTTATGTAATTACAGACCAAGATGATCGTACACAACGAAAACCATCTGAACAAAATTTGACCGCTATACAAGAGGTGTCTTTGACTCGACAAGTAATCAATGCACGACAGCCAGCACAAGTGGGAAATTCCGAAAGAACAGTTGAATCTCTGGTGAATCCATTGAGAAGAATGAGTATTCGTAGACTTTCAAGAAAATCTAGCCTGATAAATGATAACACATTTTCTCAATCAATGAATTTACCTTTATCACAACATTGTAATTCGTTTACATCCAATAATAATATATTGCCAAAAGTATGTGTGGATGAAAAAAAAGTTACTCCCAGCAATAAGGAAAACAATAGTCAACAGAACATAAACATTTTAACTTCAGCAGCAACCCTTATGCTGAGACGACCGACCCAAATTACAAATCAAGTTCCAATTCGTGCTTTGAATGACGATCAAAAAACGCCAGCAATTAAGGAAATTGGATCTCATAAAAATGACGATTTACTTACCCTAGCTGCATCTATTCCATTGCCACAAAGTCCATATGAAGATAGAAAAAAAGTTTATTTAACAAGAGAATCTTATAGCAATAATAATTTCTCGAGCGATGTTGAAAAAGCTCGTCTGTATGAAGAACTGGAAGAGCTTGAAAAGCAATTAGAACAAGAAATTTCAGAGGATATGTCAGAAATCTTATGAAATTGAAAAGTCTTTCATTTCTCTATAATATTTTATTAGAGTATTAGAGTACATATAAATATAGTTATCATACAGTTTGGTGAGTTATTATTCGGTTTTTATTTTATTTTTAAACTTAATTTTTTTTTTCCTCTCGTTCTATGAATGATGAATGATCAATTTTAAAAATAAATTATATATGACAAAGAGAACTCATTAGATAATTAAGCTACATCTTGAATTTTGCGAAAGTTTTCAGTTGGACCGACCGATATATAGCTAATATAGCAAAGAATTCATAAAAAGTGGTAATTGGGTAATATTAAGAAAATTTTAACATATCGAGAACTTTCGAGATCTTATTGCATTTTAATTTCAACACTAAATGCATAAATCTCAATTTTGTTAATTTTGTTTAAAATTCCTTGGACCTGCAATCATTTCATCCCTTTAATAGTTTTTCTATAATAATAATATTTAATATATAATATTAATTCTTTCATATGATATATAATAGGAGAGATTTTTAGCATAAAAATTTCTTAATTTTCAGATTATTTAATAAAGATAAAATACAGATGGATGCAAGCATGTATTAATTCTAATTCTTAATCCTAATCTTAATCCTAACTTTATTTTAATTAATTTAAATATTTCATTTGTAGGTATAGATAATAACTAAGTTTTGGTGGTTTTAAAAAATATGGAAAAATAATAATAAAATGTTATTGTATATTCCCGAAAATAAGCATTCCTTTCTAAAAAATCTGTAAAAAAAAAAAAAATATTTTTAATACAATATATTAATAAATTATATTTATTTGATAAATTAATACATAAAAGTTAAATTTATACAATAGAACAATTATATATTATTAAATTTCTAATATTAAACTAATATGAATTTTATTACTTATTACAACTATTATTATCATGATTATTATCATGATTATTATTACAAACATCATTATCACAATAATTATTATCAATATCTGAGATTTTTAATTCATTTTTATTATCTAAATCATCTAATAGATCTGTTATATTACAGTTTACAAAAGAATTAATGATAGTTTTATCAGATATATTATTTTATAAATATTTTACTTAATTACAAATATTATTATACTTAGCATTTTTAAGGTTTTCAGCAGCTGTTTTTTCAGTATTACCATTCACTATTTATTTTGTGAAGGTTGTCTTTGAATAACTTGTTAATATTAATATTAAGTGTTTAATAAATACTAATCAAACTATTTAAATAACTGCTAAGTTAACATTATTATCTTGAAATTTTTTTTTAACAGATTCTTCTAAATTAATGCTCTGAATAGTTCAGTTCAGTCCAGATTATAGGCCAATCTGAAACTGATCTGAAAATTTCAGTTCAGTTCAGTTCAGATTATAAATCCTAAAAATGCCAATCCGAAATTAAACTGAACTATAAACTGGTAAAAATCTGAACTGAATCAAAAATTTCGGATTAATCTAAAATTTCAGATCATTTGGAATGATCCTTTTATCATTTATTTGAAATGATAACTTCAATCATTCCAAATGAATGATTTTTTTATCATTCGATTGAAACAATAATTTAATCATTCCAATCAAACAATTTTTTTATTGTTCGTTTAGAATGATAACTTCAATCGTTCTAAATGAACGATTTTCTTATCGTTCGTTTGAAATGATAATTTCAATCATTCTAAATGAACAATTCTTTTATCGTTCGTTTAGAACGATAATTTGATCATTTCAATCGAATGATTTTTTTATCATTTGTTTGGAACGATAACTTTAATTGTTTCAAATGAACGATTTTTTTATTGTTCGATTGAAACGATAATTTAATCATTCTAATCGAATGATTTTTTTATCGTTCGTTTAGAACGATAACTTCAATCATTCCAAATGAACAATTTTCTTATTGTTCATTTAGAATGATAACTTCAATCGTTCCAAATAAATGAATTTTTTATCATTCATTTAGAACGATAATTCAATTATTCTAATCAAACGATTTTCTTATAGTTCATTTGGAATGATAACTTCAATCATTCCAAATGAACAATTCTTTTATTGTTCTTTTGAAATAATAATTTAATCATTCCAATTGAATAATTCTTTTATCGTTCATTTAAAATGATAATTTCATCGTTTCAAATGATCTAAAATTTCGAATTAATCTGAAATTTTCAGTTCGATTCAGATTTTTTTCAGTTCAGATTAGATTTATAATCCGAAAAAAATCTGAACTGAACCGAAAATTTTTGGATTAAAATTTTTGCAATCTGAAACTAAACTAAAGTTGATCTGAACTGAAAATTTTTGGATTAATCTGAACCGTTCAGAGCTTTAACTTTATGCCTTATTCTCAGCAATCAAAAGGATTACAAAAGGTAGGATTGCAAAAATGACACAACACTGGCACTTTGCATGTGTCTCACAGCAATTAAAAAGTAAGTAAATAAATTGTGACACATTTTTAGCAAATAGATAGATTGCAAATTTGACACTTTGCATTTGTCTCATCTGGCAATCAAAAAATGATAATTGAAAAGAAAAATATATAGGCTGATCAATATAATGCAAATTATACCTCTGATTCTTTAACCAACTGATTACCAAATTAGACTCTTAAAAATTATTCAAAAGTTACATGAAAGTAACGGGAAAGTACCTGGAACTGGCAATAAATTAAAACATGTAATTAATGTAGTAAGATACAGTAAATTTCGTTAATTTTGACCAACACTACTTTATATTTTTTTTCAAAATTTGAGACACAATAACTCAGCATTCAGACACATAATTTATGTGATCTTAATATTATTAGAAAGTTCTTAACATCTTCATTCAAACGAGTTTAAAATTATATAAATTTAATTGCAAATTTACTACGCTACTTGATTATAACATAATTTTTAGCAATAAATATTAGCCTAGTATTTTGGTCACAAAAAAATTACAAAGTAATGAAAACAAGCAAATAGCTAAAAGGAAATAAAAAGAGGACAGAGCAATAAAATCAAGTAAATATCTACAAAGTAATAAAAAAACTATAAAACAATAAAATCAAGTAGATAGCAATAAAATAATAGTAAAGTCACAAAATACTAAAAATAGTAACTAGGTAACATTATACTTATAGCTAAATAACATTATATTTATAATTAGATAACATTATAGTAGAACTAGATAACACTCTTATAAAAGTGTTATCTAGTTAATACATATTTTAAAAATTATTATATTAAAGTTATTATTTAAATAAATATTAGAAAATAATTATTATTTATATTATTTCTTAAACTAGAATTTTACAGACAAATTTGCTTATTTATTTATTATAAATTCTTTCAGATTTACTTTTATAAAAAATTAAAATTCTTAAAAAAATTTTTTTTTAAATTAATTTTATAAATATATATAATATCATAGTAACTTTTATTTTTTATTATATAATAATAATTAAGGTTATTTATAAGCTAAAAATTTGTAATTTTTAAAAAAATTTTATATTAAAAAATTTTATCATTGATCTTTGATAATGTTATTAATAATTAATTTTAATAATATTAATCATAATAGAATATTATAAATTTATCATGTTAAATAACTTTAATTATTACAATTTTTATAATTTACTAAGAAATTTTATAACTTTTATTAGTAATAAATTGATTCAATTAGTTTAAAAATGAATTTTAAGAAAATTTTTATAATAAATATTTTAAAACTTAATTTTAAAATTGAATTATTTAAAAACTTCTTAATAAACTTAAATATTTCTAAAAAAGTTGATTAAATATATACTAACTATATTTTTTATATAATAATTATTTTATTAAAATTAATATTTTGTATTTTATTAAAAAATTAATACTTTTTTTTTATATTTGTAGAAAAATTAACCTGCTCTACAATTTAAGGAATAATATTAGTTTATTTAAAATAAATATATATTCTATTAATATTTAAATAATAGATTATTGATTTATAATATTTAAATTAATTATATATATAATTATATTTATTATTATTATTATATATAATAAAGTTTATAGAATTTACATTATATTTAAATGTATAAATTACATAAAATTACAAGTAGATATATAAAATAATATAAAATAATATAAAAGCAATTTAATCTGATTAAATACATATTAACTTATTTTTTAAAAAATATATCTGTATCATATAATTAAATGAATTAAAAAATTTTAAAAGGATGATTAAATTATAATTTTTGGATTTTTTAAATTCACAGGTTTATTTAATCTACTAAACTTCTGAATATATATAACTTTATTGTAATTTCCAAACTATTACATATTGTACGCTATTCCATATTTGATATTAACAAGTAAGAAGACAATATGTAAATCGATAAAAACTTTGACCACCTAAAAGATTGCATTCGCAAAATCATCATTTAAATCATCCATGTAATAAAAAAAAACACACGACACCTTATATAGTAGTCACCGCTTTAATGATGAAACAGTCAACCTCTTTATAATAACGCTAGGATTTGATCTTTTTCTTGAAATCTTTATTTCCTATCATCACCATTATTTACATTGGCTTTGTTCCATCAGGTATATCTTCATCAGTTTCAAATGTAGGAGTATCCGGTGAGACAACCAACGGCGGAAAATCAATATCATCGGATTTTTTGGCATACCTCCTTTCAATATCTGAAAATTTAACGGGGGACCCACCTTTATCAATAGATATTGCTTCTTGTGTTTCATTTGTCTGTTTAATTGTAATCTCTTTTTCGTTTCCAATCCTTATTTCGACTTTTGTATTCGTTTTTTCTTCGATCGTAACAGATAGATGTTCTTTCATCGCTCTTTTAGACGTTCCATTCGATGGTGCAACAATTTCATCCGTCTCATTAGCTGTCTGTTTGATGTTAAGCGGATCATCTTCACCCAAAATTGACATCCTGTATTCAGCAGTCTTGATAAGTTCACAAGTAAAAGATTCGGTGATGTCAGGATACATTGGATAAAATCGACCGGCAATATCCCACACATTAAGTGTAAATTCTTCATCCATATTATTCTTTGGAATCAATTCGCATTTATCCTTTTCCAATGATTTGTTTCTTTCATATAAATCTCCAGTAACTTGAAATCCTTGCTTTGAATCTTCAAATATGCTTGTAATTTGTAAATACGATATTTCTTCATCTTGATCTTCATTGTGGGAAGGCATTAATCTAACCAAGTCACCTTCATAGATAAATTCCGCACCAAAATACATAGCTTTAAAATAGTTTCCTTCACGCTTCTCTTTAGTCTTCTTGGTTTTATTCACTTTATGATAGTCGTATTGATAAATAGGTGCAAAAATTTTTACTAATTCACTTGCTTTCTGGACCGCTTTAAGGTAAATTTCAATTATTTGTTCTGAAGTTGCTTTATCTAAATTGATATTCAACAAAGACCTAGTGAATCTTTTACCACTTGGTGATTTTTCGGGACTATAAAATAGCCAAGGACGAAGTGACTCAACGGTAACATGTTTATTCTCATGAAGAATCAAAGGTTTTACTGTATAACTAACTTTTTCAAGGGATTCGTTATCATCTGGTGGTGTAATTAAACCAACAATTGCAGGCCAATATTCAAGTTGTGAATGAACGGAAAGAATTTTGTTACAATCTGCCAAGGTTTTATCATTTAGAACCTTGTCAATAGCAAGCCAAACAGCTTCTCCTTCTCGAAACACAGCATATTTGGGTACAGGTGGAGGAATATCATAGTCTAATTCTGACTTTCTCTTTTTAGTCGGAGCTATTTCAACAAATTTCTTCCGGTTACCTTTTTTCGCACTATTGGATCGAGTTATTCTTTTTGATTTTGGTGCTTCGTCGGTTGTATCAACATTCCTTTGCCTCTTCGTTTTACGTGTGGAGGGAGCGTATACTTTTCGTTTTACATTAGAAGTATCAGTAGTAGCGTTTGCTTTAACACAATATTTGCAACGACACTGCCCAGATTTATCTGACACAAGCCATATCAGATGTGGTAAAAACTCATTGGAAGATCGAAATCTATGACGACCTGTAAGAATTTTATGACTTAGATTATCAAAAAAATTAAAACATACATATACAAATCGAAAGAATATATAATACCAAATAGATAAATATCCGTTCGTTCTTCTTTCTTAGGATACTTTTTACGATGCGCATAAAGATTATATCCATGCGGAAAATCCGTCAAAATTGCTTTATGTATTATCGATCACTTTTCGATTAATGAAAGTTTCACAAATACATTTAACGTAAAACAGAAAATCATATGTTCTGTATTTTTTACCTTTTGGAATTGTCACGTCTTTAAGATAATTGTTTATACCCTCACCAAGTTTCTCGCGCCAGAAAATATTCTTATCATCTTTAAGATCAAGTAATTCATAATACATTATAACTCCATTGTCATCAGGAGTAGGTGTTGTCTTGTCTGGAGATACAGAGATTTCATCCGATATATTTATCTTAATACCTTCTTCTGAAACTTGGTAAGTCATGACTGACTAAGGAAAAAAAAATCAGGCATACAATTATCATTGCTAAGTCTTAATTACAAAGATTTTTTTTTTTTTAAAAATAAACGAAATAAATTTTATAAAAGTTATTTTGTATACTTACTACGTTCAATATTCTTTACACGACCGAAATGTACCAAACTAAAGATTTAAAGATTTTTTTCTTTCGAAATGTTTTGGGATCGTGTGAAATTTAACTTTAGCTTACGTAATCATGATATAACAATCAGCAAAGAAGATGATTGGTTGACTAGTTCTCTGATCGGCAATCTTTTACGCGAATTTTTTTTGAATTGAGAAAACGCCAAAAGAAAATTATGTAATTAAAACGCATTATTTATTACATAATTTTATAAATTTTATACTTTGGTAAATATATATTTTTATGATTATTTTAATAAATTTATTAAACTAATTAAAAAAAATCAAGTTATATTTTAAAATCTATAATAAAAATTAGTAAAATTTAATTAAATTCAAAACCTAAATTAATTAAACAAGTTTCGTTATCTTAAATCAGTTTTATTATATATTTTCTTATTTTTTATAAAGAACTATAAAAATTTTTTTTATAATATATATACAAGTTTTTTATTAAATAAATATAAGTTTTTTAAATAATATTTGATAAATAATAAAAAATTTCATATTTTCAGATTAAAATTTATATTATTATAAGAACTTTATAATATTTTATTTTTAAATATAAACTTTTAACATATATTAATATCTATCAAATTTTATAATTTTAAAAAAATAAAATAATTTTTTTAATAAAAAAATTATTAGAATTTAATATTTTAAATAATAAATATTTTAGATATAAATATTTTATGATTTATTAATTAAAATTTTGTAAAATTAATATTAATATTGATATATTTATCAAATTAAAAGAATCAAAATAATATATAGACATTTTATAATAGAAAAAATCTACTAAAAAATTTTTTTCTTTATAATCAAATTTCTTTAAATATATTTCCCTTGAAATCTTAATAAAAAATTTTAAAAATATACATTTAAAGAAAATATATATTAAAAAATTTTTATATAATTCAGTGGGATACCACCATATAATATAATTATATTATATGGTGATATCCCACTTGCTCTAGATTATATAACCACCATGTGATCTAAATATCACTATATAATCTGAATACCGCCATATGATCTAAATAATATAATCTAATTATCACCATATAATCTAAATAATATAATCTAATTATCACTATATAATCTATTTATTTTCGCGTATCAGGTATCTTTTTATACTCTAGTTATTCTTTTAAATTTTTCTTGCTATCTGTATTTTTTACCACCATATAATCTAACTATCACCTACCATTTAACCTAACTACCACTATATAATCTAAATACCACGCTTTTCTTCTTGTTTTTGAGTTATTTACATGCTAAATTTTATAATAGAGTTATTAATTCTCTGTAGCTGTTTAGATATCTAGTTTTATGTTGAAAATGCTAACTTCCTACACCTGGTTGGGTGCTGGATTCTATATTGGAATGCTTACCCTTTACGCCTATTTGGTTGCCTTTTTAGATACTAAAATAGTGTAAAAAAAAGTGATAGGTAGTGCAGTTAATTTGTGAATCAGATTTGGCTAACACTATACTATATTTTTGACCTGATATTTAGGGCGGAATATTTTGGCTTCCTGTAATTATATTCGTGCGATTTTATAGTCATTTGAAAGAGAGCATTAAGAGCTTTCCAATGATACTAAGACCGTATGAATTGGATATCTGAATGCCGAATTATTGCGTCTCAAAGTTTTAGAAAAAAATATAAAATAGTGCTGGCTGAAATTAACGAAATTTACTGCGCCTTACTGCATTAATCACATATTTAGATTTCTCGCCAGTTTCAGACACTTTCTCATCACTTTTTCATTACTTTCAAGTAACTTTCGAGGGCCTAGTTTGGTGGTCAGTTAATTAGAAGATCAGAGATGTAATTTGCATTATATTAATCAGCCTATATATTTTCTTTCTTGCTATCTTTTGATTGCTAGATGAGGTACAAAGTGCTGAATTTGCAATCTATCTATTTGCCGAAGATGTATCACAATTTATTCACTCACTTTTTGATTGTCAGGTGAGATACAAATTGCCGATATTGTGCTATTCTTGCAATCCTGCCTTTTGTAACCCTTTTGATTATTAAGGATAAAACACAAAGTGTCAAATTAGTTCAGGCTATATTGCTTTTATACCTTTTTTTGTATATTCTCCTAAATCTTACTGCTTTCCTGATCTCTTTCCTGCCTATCGGCGATAGTACACTAAAGTATAACTTCTTATTTTCTTCCTTTATATTATTCTACTTTGGTGTACTACCAAATTTATACCTTATTTTTTACTTTTATATTCCTAGAACTCTTTCTCGTATAGTTGCTATTTTGGAATATCCCTATGTATGATTACTTTGGGTTATTATTGCATCAATTACTTTTGGGTACTATCACTGACCAGTATTTTGCCAGCAAGTGTATTCGCTTAAAATTATATAAAATTTTTATTTTAAAGATTTACAAATTTCTATGTAATTTTATACTGATTTCTTGTATATGCTACTATACTACTTGTGCAAAAAAATGGTTTAAAAAATATATAAAAATTTTACAATAAACTTTTTAGGTATTTCGATGATTCGTCTGAAGCAAATATAGATGAGATCATCAAATTATATGGATAAGTACTCTTAGCTGAAATTGTTACACCTCCACTAAAATACTTATAATATTATTTATATATTTTTTCTCGTATAATAATACTGACTAACTTCAATTTCTATCTTCAAACTTCTGACTTCTGATCATATAACTTAGCCTCAGATATACCTAGAGATGTAAATCGCTAGTCTGAATGTATCAGTCACTTTTTTCTTTCAGCTTAACGTTTCATGAATTTCATATTTTTTTTTCTGACTAAGAACCATATAATTGCAATAAGTAATAAGATAAGTATGGAATATATTAATATAGCAATATTAAGCAGTCTGCAACAATAGGAATAACCTGTGCTAGATTTTTTTTTTTTTTTTTTTTGAAGTGCAGCAGTTTTACATGATCTTTATTAAATTTATATAATACTAGGTACATATAATAAAACAGAAAATACAAAAATATCTAAAAATTAATTTAAACTAAACTACTTTATCAATACCAACCTTGTACTTTACTGAACTATACTATAAAATAAAAAAGAAAAGAAAAACCTAACTAAACTAGACTATTGTACAGTTATCAAACGTCTGAAAGGGAAGGCGTAGTTATTGTCATTCTAAAAATTTGACCAGTGAGAGTTATAGGCGATAGCCACTATGAAGGATGTGAGGTGTGAAGTTGAGGGGATGGGAGATGAATGTGGAAAATCTGATGAGACGCAAGGAGTAGTATAATCATCTTCAAAGTTATTTGCAATTTTCCAATCATTTAGTGCAACATTCCTTTGTAATCATATCTCATAACAAGATGTGAAGATCTCATGAAAGAAGGAGGACAAGAAACTATGTGATAAATCTTTGGCAGAAAGACAAGCTGTTACTTTGTTTAACAAAGATAATGGTATAATCCCTTTAATTATGTCTAAAAAACAAAATTCTGTGGAGGTGGGTGATGTGTTCCAAATAGGATCTGTTAGTATTTCTTGAACTAGATAATCATCTTTAAGAGTATTTAACTCAGAGAGTTGGGTGATAAATTTGTTCTTATGTGTGTTGATTAACTCATTAATGTTAGGTTAATTACTAGGACAGAGCCACAAGTGCTCAAAATCTTCAGTGTGAAAGTGACAACAGATGCATTTTGCTGAAGTGTATAGTATAGGCATATGGGAGTTAATTACCTTTAAAGTAGAAAGCAGTTGAAGCAAAATTCTAATTTTAAATTTCTTTTTGAAACATCCTATAAATGATGTTTTTTGAGATAATTCTTCATTATTTAGGATCTTGAAAAGTAGAGGCCAATCTATAGGTTTATCATGATATTTGTTGAGATGAGATAGTGAAAGTAAGAACTCTGCCCATGCCGCTTGTATTTTATTTTTTATGAATAGCCGATGAGGAGTTATTATTAGATTGGAGGTGTAACATAGGTAATAACCTAGACCTAAATGTTCTTTATTAATTGATAATGGTTGTGCAGAAAGTTGTTTTGCTAGTTTGTCAACAGTATTATTATAATGATCATCTTTGTGAGCTTGTACTTTGGTG